CTTACCAGCTGAATCACTCATTGCCGTGGGTGTAGAAGGCAAGGCAAGAAAGACATCCTTGCAGCCAATGTTACCCTGGGCAGTCAGCAGAGACCGAACTCCAGCACAGCCTGCCTTTCCCTCATTTCCCATCACACCAGGGTGAAATCCAGGGAAGCARTGCCACATACACTGCAGCAAGGTCTGTCCCTGCTTACCTTGATGAGCAAAAGCCCTCAGAGCATCTGGCACTATCACAGCAGTAAGAAAAACAATCACAGGAATGCCCTTGAGGTGATCAGACAAGGAAAAGCTTGGTAGTCTAAATGCAGACCTGRGGACTTAGCAAGTCAATCACTGCTCATGAAAGAGGTGCTCAGCCATGGAAGGCTTAAACAGGGGCAAATGCAGATGCACTTTTGTTCCAGTTTCATGTCAAAATTTTTGTTAAAATTATGTGGTGGTGCTGCCTGCCTCCAGTTCTAGCCAGGCTCAAAACCGAGCTGCCAGAGAACTCCCACCTGAATGTAACCTCAGTGCTTCTAGGCTTACAAAAAATCAGCAATAATCTCATCGCAAAAGCCTAGTAATGAGCAAAAAGGTCTTTTACTGAGGCCAAGAAACACACTGGTGTCTTGGTTTCAGCTAGGACAGTGTTCATTTTATCCCTAGTAGCTGGCACAGTGCTGTGGCTTGGATTTAATGAGAAGAATGTTGATAACACAGTTACCAACAGTTTCAGTTGTTGCTGAGCAGTGCTCATCCTGAGACAAAGCTTCAGTTTTCCATACTCTACCAGTGAAGGATGTGTACAACAAGTTTGGAGGGAGCATRGCCAGGACAGGGGACCTGAACTGAACAAAGGGACTCTCCATACTTCATGGTCAGAATATAAACTGGGGGGAGTTGGCTGYGCATGGGGCTGACCACTGCTCAGGGATGTGCTGGGCACTGGTCAGGATGTGCTGAACAATTGCACTGTGCATCACATGTTTCTCTTGGGTTATGTCTCCCTCTCTTTTTATTATCTCCCTTTTCATTACAATTATTATCATAATTATTGTAGTAATATTTTATTTTATTTCAATTATTAAACGAYTGTTATCTCAACCCACAGATTTTACCCCTTTTYCCCCCCAATTCTCCTCCTCATCTCACTAGGGGCTGGAATGAAACCACAGCTCTGGGTTATGCAGCACTGAAGGAGTAACTGTAGCAAAGTCTGAAACAGCTAAAGTAGCAATTCTGTGTTTTTACCAACAGATGGACCGGCTGTCAGCATCCACGCACTGAAGGATTTGAAACACTCATAACAAAGCTCAAGTGCGTGCACTTTCACGAGAACTCTGTCAACCAGCAGCTACAGGAGTGTGCTTTGACCATGTAACCCAGAAAGCTGGAGACCAAACCAGCTTTTTACTGCAAAGCTTGTGGAAGCAAACCCCCCTTGAAATGAGCTCATGATGGGATCCTCTTAGTGAATCAGTTACGGCTGCAAAAGGAGGAATAACTCCTTGGAGATGTATTTCCTTGTGCAACCCCCCTTGGCTTCTAATTTAGAGCTAATAAAAAGAGGAAAATTGATGAAATGCGTGTCTATAGGACAGAGGTGCTCTCCAGCTGAGAACGACAGAGCACAGAGAAAGGGAACAAATACKCTTCATATTATCTGAGCAATCTGCTTTGCGGGGGGAAAGTGTAGCACCATTTCTCTTGCAGTGCTCACTTACAAAGCAGAATAAGTGTGTCAAATCTGTTACAGTCATGAAA